CAGGTTCTTACACTAGTGAGACAATACATTGCTTACACATGCAGGTCTGATTTATTTCACTTATTAGTATGGTCTCTAGTTGTGACCCTTTACCTGTAAAAGCTTAGACTTTATCTTTCTTTATAGCTGAGTAATATTCCATTATATAAAAATACCACAATGTTTTTATCCATTCCTCAGTGGATGGACATTTGGGTTGCTTCCATAATTTGGCTATTACAAATTGCACTGCTATAAACATGGGTGCACATATATTGCTGTGATAGGATGTTTTCAGTTACTCTGGGAAAATACTCAGAAAGGGAATAGCTGGGTTGAATGCGACCTCTAGACTTAGTTTGCTGAGGAATCTCCAAACTGGTTTCCACAGTGGTTTCACCAGTCTGCATTCCCACCAGCAGTAGAGAGAGTTCCTATTTCCACCTAGCCTCGCCAGCACTTGTTATTGGTTGATTTCTTAATGGTAGCCATTCTTTCAGGGGTGAGATAAAATCTCAGTGTTGTTTTAATTTGCATTTCACAAATGACTAATGATGTACATTTTCTCATGCATTTATTTACCATTCCATTTGTATTTCTTTGTCTGAGAAGTGTGTATTCATCTCAGATGCCCATTTCTGGATTGGGTCTTTGAATTTGGGAGGGCTGATGTTTTTTAATTCTTTATATGTTCTAGATAGGAGTCCTTTGTCTGAGGGATAGTTGGTAGTTTCTTACAAAACTAAGCTACCTCTAACCATATGATCCAACAATCACATTACTTGGCATTTACTCAGAGGAGTTGAGCACTTAGGTCCCCACCAAAAACAGTCAACCAACCAATCAAACAAACAAAGAAAAAATCCTGCACATGGTGTTTTTATAAGTTTTATTCATAATTGCCAAAACTGTGGGACAACCAGGATGTCCTTCAATAGGTAAATGGATAAACTTGACACACTCACACGATGAAAAATTACTTGGCACTAAAAAGTCATGAGGTAGCAATCATCAAAATACACAGAAGGCCATTAAGGGCACATTACTAAGATGGGTAGCACATGGTTCCAACTCTGTAATATTCTAGGAAAGGTAAAACTATAGATGCAGGCAGATAAAACATTTTCAGGGGTTAAGGGAGGGATGAGTAAGAAGAGAATAAATGATTTGGAGGGCAGTAAAACTACTCTGAATGATGCTGTAATAGTGGGTATGTGACATTGGGTAGTTGTCCAAAGCCGCAGAAGGCATGACACCAAGAGTGAGCCACAGTGCACACCGATGACCTCAGCTGATACGGATGTGTCAGTGTAGGTTCACTGATTATAACAAACACACCAGTGTGACACAGGATGCTGCTGGTGTGGAAGGCAGGGTATGAGTCAAATGGGAAAAGCTCTGTACCTTCCACTCATTGTTTCTATGAACCTAAATCTATTCCAAAAATAATACAATGTATTACCTTCTTAAAATACTTTTACCTATAATAGAGCTAAAAAATAAATTATTCACCAACCCAGAGCTCTCTTACATGAGGTAACACACTAAAACAAGAGTAACGCAGAGGAGGAGGAGGCCCTGGAGGACCCACTCAGAGGGGGGCAGGCCTCCTCCCTAAAGGTTTCTCCAGGAACCTCCCTCACTCTCCAAGGCCTGGAGCTGAGCCGAGGTCCCTTTGGCCTTTGTTATTTGGCAAGCAGAGTCAGAAAAACATTGCAGCTATTGTCTTGCTCACAAGTTCCTCCCATATATCCTCTAAAGGGAAGATATCATCAAGGAAACACCACGGAACCCTACTCATAGCTGTGGTTTTTGCTCATGTGTTGGGAAAATGCCATACAGGTGTCCTCTACCTAGGACAGCTATTGCTGGCCTAGGGAGTCTAGGTGAAGAAAAACCTCACTGAAATCCATCTTCTTAAAAACTACTCACTCAAGGAGCCATTGAGTGTGCAAGGCATAAATAGAAATCAGATCTTCATCTAAAACCACCAGGGGGAAGACAGGTAACTACTTTAGCTTCCTCTGATCCAGAAAAAACTCTGTAACTGTACATTTTACTAGATGTTTCTTTATTTCTCCTCTTTTCTTTTCTTTTTTTTTTTTTTTTTTTTTTTTTGACTTTTTTTCTGGTACTGGGAATTAAACCCACGACCATCCCATCTCCAGCTTGCCACCTTTTTTTTTTTTTTTTTTTTTTTTTTCAGGCAGTAGGTGTCTCTGTAATGCACAGAAGTTGGGCTTTACCAAAACCTACTATTACCAACTCAGAAAATAGCCCCAACTTTGTAGACTTATCTTAAGTCCTGCTGGATCATGATGAAAACAGAGGAAGGACACCACAGATTCACAGACTCTGGAATGGGAAGGCCGTAGACTGTCAGATGTGCACAGCCTTCACCTCTATTTTAATGGCTTCCCGCTCTCTGGCTTCTGTGAAACGGTACAGTCATGTGCTAGGTCTGCTTGTGTTAGCACAGAAGTGGAGAAGAGGCTTATATTTGGTACCAGAGGTGCCGAAGAAGATCATTTCCCCATCTTTAGAACTAGTAAGATAGAAGGGCCAGGGATGTAGTGGCACAGTGCCTGCCCAGCAAGCATGAGGTCATGAGTTCGATTCCCAGTACCAAAAAACAAAAAAACTATTAAGATAGAATGGACTTCAGAAAACATCAAACTATCACAGTTTTTAAAAATGAAAACTGACTTATCTACACATTTGTAGGGAGAGAGAAAGGATTCGCTCCATCATCAGGTGTCACAATGTCTCCATCGACCATTTAAACATTCATCACGGTCTGTCAGGCTCAAGGCCAGCCAAATGTGCGTTGTGGATTCACTGTGCCAGTCAGTGATGCTGTGGCTTGAGCTCAGTTTCCATTGGAAGCAGAGAAGAGCAGTTCTTTGGGTCCTGGAGTCTACCCTCCGCTCCTTCCTTTCCTGACTCTAGTTAGAGTAATCCTTGTTCTCTTTCTTTTCTAGGTCTGATTCTCTGCACTCTCCCTCTCCACCTTCTCCACTATGGCCAGCAAGTTACTGCCCTGAACTGGGAGGTGCTGACAAGGGATGACATGGCAGGGCTGCCTCTGCTGCGTCGTCTGTCCTGGGTCAGTCCTGGGTCACTCACAGTGCCTCATCTCTAGATGAGGCATTCTCTGATACTGATAGATGATTTGAGCATTCCTGTCAGTTTGTGTCCCTCTGAAGGGAGTCTTGACTGCCCCATGGAAGTTGGCAATGAGACTTCAGTCACCGTGTTTGTTCTCCTAGGACTGTCCAACAACCCTCAGGTCCAAGTACTGCTCTTTGTGGTGTTCTTAGTAATTTACCTTTTGACCCTCGTGGGGAACCTGCTGATAATGCTGATGAGCTATACTGATTCCCGTCTCCACACTCCCATGTACTTCTTCCTGAGACACCTCTCCTTCCTGGATGCTTTCTATTCCTCAGTCATTGTGCCTAAACTGCTAGAAAACCTTCTTTCCAAGGGAAAGACAGTATCCTTCCATGGCTGCTTCACCCAGATTTCCTTGGTCATATTTTCAGGGGCCACTGAATCCTGCCTCCTTTCTGTCATGGCCTATGACCGGTTCCAGGCTGTGTGCCACCCACTGTTGTACATGGTGGCTATGAACCGGAGGCTATGCACCGGCCTGGTGGGTGCGTGCTGGGCCATAGGGATAAGTACCAGCCTGATGAACACTCTCTTATTAGCTCAGCAGCACTTCTGTGGCCCCAACCTCATCCGCAATATTGCCTGTGAGCTACCCCCAGTGCTTTCGTTGGCCTGTTCTTACCCCTACAGCAGTGTTGCCTCCATCCTGACCACCATGGTGGTCCTGGGCCTTGGTGCCCTTGTCCTACTACTGGGTTCCTACAGCCGGATCATCATGACAGCTCTGGGCGTCAGCTCCACCACGGGTCAAAGCAAGATCTTCTCCACTTGCTCTTCTCATGTCCTTGTGGTCACCATCTTCTACGGTTCAGGAATTTTCAGGTATGTCATGCTAAAGGTCCTAAAGGGAGATGTGGCATATTTCACTCTAAGTGTCTTTGGTCTATAGAACAGAGCACTGCGATGTAGCAGGAAAGGGATCATCCTGGAATTCAGAAAGCCCGGGCTCTAGCTCTGCCTCTACTGTGGACTAGCTTTGTGATTTATAAAGAATCCATTTTCTTTCCTGTGGCTCAGTTGACTATTTTGAAAAATGAGTCTAGAAAAAGATTAAAGATTTCTCTACTTTATTAACCTAGAGGGAACTTGAGAACTTTTGGTATGATTTTATTCAGGGCTAGGCAAATAAAGAAACAAATACAGCAGCATCCTTGAAATAGATACTCTTTCCTACTGGAAGATGCTATCTCCTAACTATTTATGAATAGGCACTTATTATACACCAACTTCTTTACATGTCAAACTCAATTTTAGTATGCACCTCACCACAAGAGTTAATATCACTAAGCCAGGTGTAGTGGTGCATACTTGGGATCCCAGCACCTGGGAGGCTGAGGCAAGAGAATTGCCATGAGTTTGATGCCAGCCTGGACTACAAAGTGAGCTCAAGGCCAGCCTGAGCTACATAGTGAGACCAAATGAACAACCAGAGCATTAGTATTCTTAACCGTGTTCCTCTGTTTTCAGACAAAGAACTTGAGTTTTGGAAGTAATTAGGTAATTTCTCAAAGGTCCCAGAACAAAGCAGTTGTTGAGCCAAGTGAATAAAGTCCTTTCTCACCACCCTTCTCTCAAACACAAACAAGTTTAGCTAAGGCGTCTTCCCTCTCCAGGAGAAAGCATAAATGTCTCTGCTCTCTATTAGTTAACTGGAAATGAACTTGAAATGGAAAATAAGGAACAATTCAGGAAAGTTCATGTGAGCCTGAAGATTCATCTCCCTTTAACTTCTTATATGCCTTAAAGGAACAATGAGATTGTTTCCTACTACTTCACAGAATAATGAGAAGGGATAAATAAAATCATGTTTAAAACACACAGTAAAATGAGCATCTTTTTAACCAAGCACAGAGGAATCTACAAGGAGCATTCTTGGTACTATCTATATTTATCCCAATCATGATGGTACCACTGAAAAAAATAATAATAATGCTTCTTTGAAAAATAACCCCAGGGATACGTAAAAAAAAACAGGTCTTAAAATTTAATCTTCTTAATTTGGATCTTAACTTTTGTTAAGATCATGGCCTATGATCTTAACTCTTATCTCTTATTTTATTTACCAGTCTTGACTTCTTTTCCAAGCCAAAAAATAAAAATAAATAAAGTAAAAAAACAAACACAAAACAACAAAAACACAACTAAAAGAACAAATGATTGCTTCACTATTTCAAGGTTGGTTGGCTTCTTCATTTGTTTGAGACAGGATCTTACTACATAGTTCAGGCAGCCTTGAACTTGGTATAGCCCAGTTTGGCTTGGAACTCACTGTAAAGCTTCTGCTTCAGCCTCCAGAGTGCTGGAGATACAGGTGTGTACCATTACACCCAGTTTCCCACTAAGTATTATAAAAACTATATGCTACAACTCTGAAGGTAATTCCCAGTGTTGGGAGCAATGACAGCTTTGTGAACTAAGAGTGAAGCTGTGCAAGGCACAATCATCACAAGATGAAAACACAGTACGTCTTTACTAATGTGTAGACAGAGGAAAATTCCTACTGTCATCATAACCATTAGGCACAGTGATTTGAAAAGTATGGAGTGTGATGGAAATCATGACAGCATCTTACTTGCTCTGTTCTAACCTGCAGCCCTTGATAAGCTGCAGAACTTCTCTTCCCTTGTGTCAGTTCCTGTAACCTTCTGCACAAGATCACTGGTGTTTGGGGGCATTTGAGAGCAGAAACGACTGATTTCTCACTGATCAGTCATTTCCAGATGCTACCACCCGTGATGGTCAACTCAGCTCTGAGGAATGCCTTTGCAGTCAGCAGGGATGGGATGAAACATTGCTGCCGACTGTACTGTGCCGATTACCCTGAGCTCAGTGTGCTCCTCTGCCATTCCTACAAGGTACATGACTCCAGCCTCTGGATCAGCACTGGAGCAAGTGGTATCCATGCAGTACAGTGTGGTGACACCCCTGCTCAACCCCTTCATCTACAGCCTGAAGAACAAGGAGGTGAAGGCAGCTCTGCGGAGGGTGCTGGTCAGAAAGTCCAGGCGGACCTTCTGACCTAGACCCCCCTGCTTCACCAGGAGGAAAAGTTACAGCAGGGGGAAGAGGAGCAGGGAAGAGCCATCACTGCTCGGCTGTCCCAGCATCCATTCCTTTCTGAAACAGAAGACTTGGCTTCTCTTCATCCAGCGACCTGTCCTCAGACAAGGGAAAAGAGGAAGCCTCCGCAATACAGCAGGTGACACTCTGCACAAGAAAGTCCTCAGGGCTTCACTGACCATTACTGCAGCTACTGACTTCACATCTCATTTCTTCTCCTTTCTATCATTCCTTTTTCCTCACCTCCCTCTCCCCTTTACTTCTGTCTATGCACAAAATGTAAATAAACTCACCACACCATCAGCTAATACCCCATTGCATTCTAATATCCGATCTTGATACTGCAAGAGGTAATTCCCCTTTGTCCCATTCCAAAGGACCCCAGCAAAATCTATATCTCTTTAATAATCTAAAAAGAAATCGAATACGGTGTGTCTCCTCCTATCTTCATTCTTTAGAAATAGGCCATTACTAGACCCTAGCAAATCTTTACTTTTTGTGGACAACTTAAGGAAAGACTGAAGGAATAAGTCATTGATCTATCTGAGATTTTTCTCTTGCACCATCCCCTAAAGAGTACCCTGAGGGCAGTACCTCTGTCTAATATCTTCTGTGTCCTTGCATTCCGTACATCCTGCCACTGATAAGTGAAAAAAATGAGTGACTGAAAGGAAGCGGAAGTGAGAGTACATATGAAGAGGAGCATTTAATAATATGCAGTGAACTCCTGCCTTCACCACAAGACAGGTGTCAGAAGAAAGCAGCAGGGAGGAGAAAACAGGAAAGGAGAAAGTGACTGCATATTGCAGAGCACCATTCAGAATCTTCCTCACACACATCTTAGTCAATGGACTGTATTCTGACAGTGCTTTCTCTGAGGCTCCCACATGGTGGTAGGACACTTTTGATCCATGCGTGGTTCAGGACCTCATTCCAGACTAGAGAAAAGAGGAGTTGGAAAGTATAAAGCAAGTGCCCAGCTGCCATCCCACTGGATGTTCTGTTCCTGGTAGAGTCTCAGGAATAAAGCAGCGGTTTCCTGTCTTGTTTCCACTGAAAGACCAAGAGGTCTGCGATAGTCAATTCTACTTCCATTAGGAGCAGAGGGTGCAGCCTCAGTAGGAGAGTGTGTGTTTAGTATGCATAAAGCCCTGGGTTTGATCCTCAGTGCCATGAAAGGAAAGGAAAGGAAAGGAAAGGAAAGGAAAGGAAAGGAAAGGAAAGGAAAGGAAAGGAAAGGAAAGGATCCCTCTTCTTCCTATTTACAAAGCATTTTTCCATTTCATCCTTTTTTCTTATTTTTTTTTCCCTTTTTCCAGCATCAAAATATATCATGTACAGGTACAAATGCCCTATGATGAATATTATCATTATGTATATCTAAAGTGTACCAATAAACTCAATTTAAAAAAAGAATAGAAATAGATCAAAGACCTAAATACTAAAACAGAAACACTAAATCTACTGAAAGAGAAAGTAGGTAGAAATCTTGAAATCATAAGGGTAGGCAAAAAGTTTATGAACAAAAACCAAACTGCATGGGAAATACTTCAAAGAATCAATAACTGGGATCCTATCTTATTAAAAAGTTTTTGTACTTCAAAAGAAATCACCAACTGAGTGAAAAGAAAACTCACAAACTGGAAAAAAATTTTAGCCAACTATCCCTCAGACAAAGGACTTCTATCTAGAACACATAAAGAAATTTTAATAATCAGGCCCCCCAAATTCAAAGACTCAATCCAAAAATGGACATCTGAGGTGAATACACACTTCTCAGATGAAGAAATACAAATGGCAAATAAACACATGAAAAAATGTTCAACATCATTGGTCATGAGATTCCATCACATCCCAGAAAGAATGGCTATCATCAAGAAATCCACCAATAATAAATGCTGGAGGGGCTGTTGAGGAAAAGGAATCCTTCTCCACTGTTGGTGGGAGTGTAGACTGGTGCAACCATTGTGGAAATCAGTGTAAATATTCCTCAAAAAACTAGGATTAGAGGTCCCATTTGACCCAACTATTCCCCTTCTGGGTATTTTCCCAAAAAAATTGAAAACATCATATCACAGCAATATATGTGCACCCATGTTTATAGCAGTGCAATTTGTCATAGCTAAATCTTGGAAACAACCCAGTGTCCATCAACTGAGGAATGAATAAAAAAGATGTAGTACTTTTATACAATGGAGTATTACCTATAAAGAAAGATTAAAAAATAAGAAAAAAGAAAGATAAACTCGAGGCTTTTATAGGTAAATGGATGCAACTAGAGACCAAACTCATAAGAAATAAATCAGACTCACATGAGTAAACATCATATTGTCTCCCTAGTGTAAGAGACTGAATGAGTAAATAAAATCTGAAAGGTACAATAGATATTGTGAGAGGGAAAGAAACTGCTCAAAAGGAAAGAACAACTGGAATGGGGGAAAGGAGAAAAGAAAAAAGGAAGGAAGGGGAAAAAAAAAA